GCTCAGGAACTCCTAGTGCTGGGTGCAGGTGGGTGGGTGAGTCTGAAGGTTCTCACTCCCTGGTGCAGCCAGGCCCAACAAAGAGAAGTCTGTGCTCCTCCTAACCTCCCCGGAATTCCAGGCCACCTGGAAGTCGAGATCCCCTCTAAGCTCCCCGGGTCCGGCCCCCAGGAAATGGTCCTGGGGCAGAGGGGCGGGCCGGGAGGAGCGGGGGAGGTGACACCAAGGGAGCTGTCAGAGAGCCAGGCCCCAGCTCAAAGGCTCTTTGTGAAGAGCCAGGAGACAGCTTCCTGTCTGTAAAGTGCTGGCCTCCTCCATCCCTCCCCTGAGGGGAGAAGGACCCAGGCAGGCGCCTCCCTCCCTCCACTGGGGCTCAGCAGCCTGTTAAGGGCACTGAGCCCCCGAAGCGGCCCTGGGTCTAAAGGCCAGCCTCTCTGCTTGCCGACTCTGTGACTTTGGACCTGTCCCTTCCCTCTCTGAGCCTCAGTTTCCTCATCTATAAAATGAGGGGATTGGCTGAGGTGGCCATAAAGTTTCCTTCCAGCTACCCCTTGACCCCTTGAGCTTCCTAAGACCCTGGGCGTGGAAGACAGGCCCGGGGCAGCCAGGTCTGGGGGCGGAGAGGACAGGCAAGGGTGGGCCAGGGCAGCCAGGTCTGGGGGCGGAGAAGACAGGCGAAGGTGGCCCAGGGCAACAGCTAGAAGCTGTGGGTCAGCCCTTTTCCAATCTGCAGATGGCACCTTCGAGAGTGCCTCAGCCCCAGGCACAGGACACTTCTCTTTGCCCTCTGTGCCTAGCTCTGTGCTCAGCCACTCCAGTGGACACGGTAAAGAAGCAGACTGGGCACCAGCAGCCTCTGGGGAGCTAGGTCACTGAGAAAACCTGACTTACCCCCAGGAGGCAGGGAGAGCTCCCCCCACCCCCACTCCAGGGCTGGGATGAGCAATGAGGCCAGAGCAAGGATGTCCTGCCATGGGAAGATGAGTGTGGGTGGGGCAGGGCAAAGAAGGCTTCATGTTGGAGGTGAGACTCCTGTCAGTCCTCAAAGGATTGAAGGATGAGTAGGCTGTGGCATGGCTGAAGAGAGGGTGGGAAGAACAGGGTGAGCCACGTATGGCGGTGGGAAGGAGTCCGGGTGGGCAGAGGATGCCAGGCTGGCTGGGGAGAAGCTGAGGCCGGAGAGCTGGGAGCCTGAGCCACGGGCTGGCCTGGCTCCCGTGGGCACTTGGGGGTATCGAGGGAGAGAGAGGGAGGGTCCCTTGTGCAAGGTGGGCATCTCGGGAAAGCGGGTGGGGAGAAGCAGGAGAAGCCCAGGTCCTGCGAGGCTCGGACAGGGCCCCACGCTGGCCCACTGCCCTTTTCCTTCAGTAAGAATCAGCTCCTCAGTTCCCAGAGCTGGGGCCCTGGGAACTCGCAGACATGCAGATGGCTCCAGCTAATTGCTCTCGGGATCTGGAGCAGCAGCTGTCTGCAAGCGGTGTGGGCGTCTTCCTGGGAGAAAGGCCGCTATTAAAATACCTGCCACCATTTCTGATCCTGGGTGGCTCTCTGGCAGCCAAGGCAGGGCAGCTCTGCCCACGGCCCAGGCTTACAGTAAGTGGGCCCTGCCCAGGGACAGGTTTCTCCCCGGCTCTCTCAGGCAGCCCTGAGGAGACCACAGGCTCCTCACCTCCTCCCCCCACCCAAGACACAGTGGTGGTATCTGGGGCCTGGAGGACAGAGGGCCTGGGGCGGGGGGGGGGGACACAGGGACATGAAGGCGTATAAGCCCCAAGTCAGCGCAGCCAGGCAGCCTTGGAGAGATGCCTAATCCCACAGAAACACAGCGAGTTTGAGCTGGGAGGGACCACGAGCCAGACGCCTCATTTTACAGATGAGGAAACTGAGGCTCAGAGAGGCAAAGCAAGGTAAATATTAGTGGTAGGCTCCAGATTCCAATGCTGGCCTTCTCAGCTGAGGATTCTGCCTGCTGCCCCAGGCTGCCCACTTTCCCCTTGGCCTAGACCCTGCCCAGCCTCCAGGACCCCAGAATTAGCCCATCCCTGCCCCTGATTCTCGTTTTCCCAGACCTTGGCCCTGCCCCCATCATTGGGTGACCAGGGGCTCTCTGGGTTGTGTGGCTGGACAGCAGGAGCCCCAGGCCAGGAGAAACACCTGCCTCCTCATCCTTCCACACCTCAGGTAGTCGTCTCCTCTGGGAAGTCAGCCCTGATTTCTCCTTCTTCAAATCCTCTCTGATCTCCAATCCTAGCCAATACCATAAGCACATATTAAGCACCTACTATATACAAGGCCCCCTGCTAGGGGGTCCTAATGCAAAGACAAAACAACCCCCCTCCTTGTGCCCATCACTCTGAAGTGGGCATGCTCTGTGTCCATTTTGTGATTACACACACACACACACACACACGCACATGCACACACAGACACACATACATACACGCACACATGTGCATGCGCACAGTATAAACCTAGGAGCTGGGCCAGTTTTCCATCTTGTGTCCCCAGGGCTGAGGACAGCAGTCCCTGGATAATTATTCATTGGAATGAATTGGTCAAGGAGAGAGGGCAGGATGACTCCTCCGCGGGGGTCGGGGCCTTTCGATGCCCTCCTTTCATCTCCCCCTGCCACAAAAAGCCCAGAGTGCGTCCTGCAGGCCCCGCCAGGGAGGCCTGAATCAGCCCGGGCCGCTCAGGCACTCTCCTTGGGACACTCATCCCCTGAGTTGTCCATGCTTCCTCCACGTCCCTCTCCCATGACGCTGGGGTGGCCGCCTCCCAGCCCTGGGATTTGGAGCACGTGTCTGTGCTCCCACAACCTGAGAACAGCTGTTCATCCAGCCCCCACCCCCGTGGCCTCAGAAGTGGCCTACATGTTCCCCTCCCAAGAAGGCTGGGCTACAATTATTTACTGAGATGAGGAAAAGACCCCAGGGCTCACCTAGCCCTGCAGATGAGGACACAATTGTCCAGGGGACGAAAGGCACTGACCCAAGGTCACACAGCCAGTAAAGGAAGATCCAGAATTCCAGCCTAGTTCCTGTAACTACAAGGCTCTGCCTCGTCCACTGGCTTTCTGTCTTTGTGAGTGGAAGGGAGCTCCCCACTCCCCACAAACCACTGATCCCCAGAGCACACAAGCAGGTGTTAATGTTTGACCACTGGCTGATGTCCGGTGGTGTGCTAACGCATGGCCTCATTGGCCTGACTGACGGAGGCTGGGCCCATCCCATGGGGGACGGGGAAGAAAGGCTCCGTGAGTCTTGGGGTGCTGGGAATCACATTTTTTCCTACTGGACAGTCCGTTCCCCGAGGGCAGGGGCTGCAGGCCCCATCTATGCCCCAGAAGGCCCAGAGTAGATGCACACTCACTGAGGCTGATGCTAACAGCCTTGCCTGAAGCCTGAGTTAGAGGCGAGGGTCATCGAGGCCCGTGGAGGGCCCTGGCAGTAAGATTCTGTGATGGGACAGCGGCTGCCTCCGAGGCCCCAGCAGCCCCCATGGCTCTATATCCCAGCACCAGCCCGTGGTCTGCTGCCAAGAAGCCCTGCCCGCAATGGGCCCAGGCCAGCCCGCAGCCTCTCTGGCCAGTTCCCAATAGAGGCTGATACCTCGTCCTGAAAAGCCTCATGGGAGTAGAGATGACAAGGGCAGCCCGCCTCTGCCCAGTCCTTCCACGCTGGGCAGGCTTTGAGGAGGGCTCCGGCGACCCCCTGCAGAGAGGAAGCAGATGTTTATTAGGTCACTCCTGTGCTTGGTGAACTGGGGATACCCCCCACGAGAAAGGACAGAGCCCCTGCCTTCAGCAAGCTGATAGTCTAATGGAAAGTATGTCTAAAGAAAAGGATGGTGTGTCGTAGTGAATAGAGGTCTGGAAGACCTGAGTTTGAATCCCACCTCACACACTCTGAGCCTCAGTTTCCCCAGATATAAAATGGAAATAAAAATAGTGCCCAATCCAAGAGGTGTTTAATAATAAATGTCCGTTGGCTGATTCCACTGCTTAGCACGGCATGTCGGCTCTGACAATGAGGGAGAAGAGGAGCACCAGTTCAGGCTGAGGAGCTTGGCCATGCTCTGCAGGGGTCAGGGAGCCACTGAGCAGGCTGGGACAGGTCAGACCCCTCCAGGAGAAAGCTAACTTTGGGTGGCAGTGGGGAGGGTCAGAACAGGGGGCTCAGAGCTACGATAGTCCAGGGGGACAGGCCCAGGAGCTTGAATTAGGATGTCTGTCGTCTGGGGACCGGCCTAGCTGAGGACAGGGCAGGAAAAGCCAAGGCTGAGGTGTGGACGGACTGGATGTGGCAGGGGGCCCTGGTGGAGGGAAGATGCCCAGGAGAGTCAGACAGCTCAAGGCCTAGCAGCCTCTGGCCGCTGGCCTCAGCCCTGGCCTCCAGTCTGGCGAGAAGCTCTTGGGGCAGCCCGGACTGAGATGCCCCTTCCCTTGCCAAGGACCTCCCAGAAAGCTCAGGCAGTCTCCCTGCCGGGAAGGGAGCACACTGTCTGCTGGGGACTGGGCCGGCTCTCTGCTCTGATAACATCTTTCTTGGCCGGCAAGAACCAAAATTATTGTTCCTCGGTCACGTTGCCAGTCTCCTCTGTTCCTGTTTCCCTGGCACGCTCTGTACCCAGGAGCTGGGGGGCAGCAGGAAGCTCCTGTGGGCCTGGCCTCTTGGCACCTGCTGTATCCAAGGCCTGGCTGCTGGGCCTCTCCTGAAAGCGGGCTTTGTTCTTAGCACACTACCTCTCGTCAAGCACCTGGCCACGCCATCTCCTGGGAGGTCCATTGAGGGCTATGCTGACTATTCTTGTAGAAAAGAGGAGAAAACTGAAGCTGACAGAGGGGAATTCGCTTACCCAGGGTCACCCGGTCTGTCAGAGGTCCCTTCTGACTCTGGGTCCAGCCCAGAGGCTATCTATGCCACCTAGCTTGTCTGAGCTCCCTTGCCTGACGTCACATTGCCCTGTTCGCCGGAGCTGACATCTAGGATTTGGGAATCAATCAGTGGACAAGTATTTATTACCCACTGACCATATGCATTAACTCATTTAATTCTGAAAACAGCCCTGGGAAGCTCGTGCTATCATCATCCCCATTTAATAGATGGGAAAACCACAGCAAGTTGTGCTAGTACATGTCTGAGGCAGGAGTCCAAAGTCAGACGAGGTCCCATCTGCACTCCAGCTACCCTCAGACGTTGTCCCAGCCCCAGGGCCCAAAGGCACAGTCCTCAAAGGGCTCTCAGTCTGCTAGGAAAGAGTACCCAGGCAAATGAGGGCAGAGGAAAACAGGGATGGAAATAATAGAGCCCCCTGGGTGCAGTGGGGGCAATCCAGGCAGACTGCATGGACGAGATGGGTCTTGAACAGGGCTTTGCATGTGAGGGTAAAATGGAGGATATGGCAGATGGCTGAGTCCTGAGTCCAGCTGCTTGCTCAGTCTCCGGAGAGGATGACCTCTCCCCACAGAGATCCTCCGGGGGCAGTGCTCAGCTCCCGAAAGCATCAAGGCCGCTTCCTGGTCATATCTCCCTCTGGGACCTTGGAAAGCTCACTTCCCCTTCTCTGCGCCTCAGTTTCCTCCCCTGTAAAATGAGGAGTTTGGATGAGTTGTTCTCTAAGTTCTGTCCCGCTCTGAGCCGGGGAGTCTAAACTCCCCACTGGAGAATGAAGCCATGTTGGGGAGGATCAGGGCATCCATTGTACCCTGGCTGCTGTGCTAACGACTCTCTCCCTTGGCCCCCAGGTGCCATGTTAGGAATCTGTGCTTCTGTGCAGCCACTGACGCGGACCATCGGCCCCACCATTGGCGGCCTCCTGTACAAGAGCTTTGGAGTCGCAGCCTTTGGCCACCTACAGTTTGCTGTCAACTTTCTCCTCTTCTTGTATCTGTGCAAGAAGAGCGTTCCCCAGAAAGTCAAGAAAGCTCCGTGATCTTTGCCCCAAAGAAGAGCTTGTTCCCCCTCCCCCTCCCCTCCCCCTCCCCCTCCCCTCTAATAAGTGCCTTGGGCCCTCCTGCTCTTCCTCCTGTTCTTCCTCCTCCTCCACCTCCAAGCGAGCCCTCTGTTCTGATGATGCAGGCTTCCTGCCTGCCCAGCCCAGCCCAGCAAACAGAAGGTCACGGGGCGGAAAGGCTCGAAGGGACCATTTTCAAGCATGGTCTGTGAGCCATGGTCATCAGGGGGGCTTCCTGGAGGAGGCAGACTGGAGCAGAGTCCTGGGAATTTTATTCAATCACCACACACTGACTGATTAAGTTCCTACTGTGTGTTCTGCACTGGGGTAAGAAATATAAAAAGTGACACTATCTTTGCCCTCAAGAAGATTCTAGTTTATAGGAGGGACCTGACACAGATGCGTAGGAAACAAAGTAGAGTAGAGGGTCCAAGGAGACGAGGCAGCCTCTGAGTTGGTCCCTAAAGACTTTAATAGACAGGGTAGGGATGGAAAGCATTTCAAAGTATGGAGGACTGTGTGGACAAAGACATGGAGGTGGGAAAGGGCGGGTCAAGAACAAGAGACAAGCAGTGCAGCTTGACTAGAATGTAGAGAACATGAAGGGAAGTGTGAGATAAGTCTGGATGGTGGATTTAAAGCAAGTAATACAAGGCATTGAGTGCCAGGGCCAGGAGTTTCTACTTTCATTGTTAGGCAATACTGGGGGTAGCCATCGAAGGCTTTGGAGCCAAGAGTGGGACAGTCAGAACATTAGGCAGATGGCTCAGGTGACCATGACAAGAGACAGGGAGGAGACAGGAGGCCAGGCTGGAGGAGAAGGGTGAGCGGATGGGAGGGGAGGGGCTGAATTGGAGAGTCCATGAAAGAGAACAGAATTACCTAGAGAAGGCACACCAACCGCCATGTTCTGGGCTCCTTCCCGCCTGCTCTGGGTGGAAGCCAAGACCCCACTTTAAGAGCCCCAGTCAAGCAAATTTAAGAAACCATGGAGTCCTCCCCACCTTGATTTTATAGATCAGAACAATGAGCCCCAGAGAAGAGGAGAGTCAAGTTACTGAGCATTTATTGAGCACCTACTATGTGCCTGGCACTGTGCTGAGGAAATGCTTGCCCGAGGTCACACAGCTACTTAGTGACAGAGCCTAGATTAGAGCCCACATCTCCTGACTGCTTCCCTGATATTTCTCCTAACCATGATCGCTCCCACTTCCCTATGGACCTGAATAAATAAGGGTTTGATTCTGGGGGCAGTACACGGGGATCGTACAGAGCTGACCTGGACCCATGGCCAGAATGTAAGCTGAACTCCAAGCCACCTTGGTCCAGGTGTCAGAGGATTCCAGAACTCTGGGACCTCAGGGGCCACTCAACTCTGGTTTAACAGATGAGGAAACTGAAACCAAGTACCTTGGCTAAGGGCACCCAAGTAGTTAGTGTCAGAGCAGGGATTTGAACCCACATCCTCTGACTCAGTAGCCAGTGCTCTTCCCCAGTAGTCTGGAGGCCTGAGAAATGGAATGGTTGGAGACAGTGTTACCTCTGTCTGGGAGCATATTCTCACAATAGGGATTGTTGAGGTCTGGCCCCATTGGTGCTTCCTTCTCTTGGCCTCTTTGGCTCTGAGATGGGTTGTGTGGGCCCCACTGGGGAGGGGCCTGTACCAGTTCACAGGTTCCTACGGAAAAGGCTTCATTCGGCCTGAGGCCAAGAGTGAAAAGTTTCCCCAGGGAAGGGGTGGTTTTTCCAAAGTAGGCCCCAAGGTGTGGAAACTGAGAGCTGTGGACTGGCCAGATGGCACCTCCGGCCAAGCAGGGCTGAGGGAGTACTGCATGAGGCCCTGACTGCCCCATCCAGGGCCCTTCTTCCCCCCCTTCCCTCAGACCCCAGAATGCTGCTCAGCCCACCCAGGGGCTAGCACTCTCCCCCCAAACCACCTCCCCACCTCCATCAGGCAGCAGCATTTCCCTGTGATGTGCCCTCATTTAGCCCAGTGTGGGTATGGCCAACCACAGTATCCCGGGGGAGCCCTCCAGGGTCATCAGCAGATCAGCACTCCTTACCCCAAAGGAATAGAGCTCTGGCATGAGTCCCTGTGGTCTGGTTACTCACCCAACCAGCCATCAGTGAACATGCATTCATTAAGTACCTCTTGCATTCAAGGCTCTGGAAATCCAAAGAGCAAGACCCACATCCTGGCATCATTCCCTCTACGGAGAGGCCTGAGCCCCGAACCAAGGGACAGGTTGCAATACTGGAGGCTGCCAAAGTGCCTTCCTGCTCCAGGAAGTTCTTATTCACTTTATTCATTCACTTATTCACACTTTAGTGTGTCCTAAGCCCTGAAGCTAACCCTAACCCTGAAGGCACAATGCAGGAGGTAGGAGAGGTTTCCTCCAGAGAGCTCATGGATGAATAGGTGAGGTAAAATGAGGGTCCAGAAAAGCAGGGTGCCAGGCTGGCATCTGTCAGTGCCATCTGTAAGGGAGAGGCAGCAGGTGAGAGTTCAGAGGCTGGTCTGGGTGTCTGGGGCAAGATGAAAGAAGGGCTTGTCTGTGGAAGGCTTAACACCACTCCCTCGGATTTCCAATCAGAATCTTGGAGCTCATTCAACCAGCCCCAGCTACCTCTGAAGGCCCTGCTCTAACCTCCCCCTCCCAATACTGCTTGATCGTGGTTGGACCTGGAGCTCACTTCCAAGCACGGCTGCCCTTTTCAGTGATGACTCAGTTCTCCCCAGAAAGTGTCTCTGGGCAGGGCAGGCTCTGAGACTTCCCAAACTGAGGAAGCTTAGGCTGGGGGAGAGAGGGAAGTGGGCAGCAGACCTCCAGATGCCCAGTCCTAGTCATCAGGTCCCCTCCCACGCTCCGGCTTTGGGGAGCAGGGGCGTGGAAGGGATGTCTGAGGCTCCAACAGTGAGATGCTATGAAAAGCTAATGAGGAATGTGCTTGCCAGCCGATTGAGAGTGACACGGGAAACGGGTTTCGCCAGAGCCAAGTTACCAGGGTCTCTCCTCCCTGGGCTCTCCTGGCCATCGAGGGAGGAAATCAAAGACACCAAGGGAGAAGGAGGGACTGAGCAAGCCTGTGGAAGCCTGGACTCACGCCGCTAAACTCCAGCTTTCCTGCCTCCCATAGCACCAGAGCAGTGAGGAAACCACCATTTCCAGCTCCTTCCCCCACAGGCTAGGAGATCCCTTCCAAGGCAGTGACAACACCACCCCTCATCCCAAGATCACCAGTTATGGGTATAGAACAGGGTCCCTCCCTTCCCCCAAGACTGCCTCACCCTCCTTTCACACCTTGGAACCTGTAACTCTACTGGTCCCTCCCTACCCAGAGCATCTGATCCACGTCCATGGAGGGCATCAAGAGGCCCTGCCTCCCCCTCCCCACCTGGGGCCAGCTCCCAGCAGCTACCTAGGAGCCCAGGCGAGGGAGCTAGGCTGGGAGTCCAGAGCTCTGGGTTCCCAGTCATGACTCAGCTTCAACCTTGGCTTAGTCTCATCCTCCCCGGGAGCTGCAGGTTTCTGCCCTTTAAAAGGCAGGAAGTAAATGACCAAAGTCCCTCCAGATGTATGGCCCTTTGATCTCTGATTTCACCATTGATGACTCTTCCAGTTCCAAGAACAGGAAATCTTGAAAGGAGACATTTTACTCCAAGCAGAGCCAAAGGCCTGGGGTCAAATCACTCTGCCGGAAATGGGGGGATGGGGGGGGCAAGGTCACACTATGGTCCCGGAATCCACCAAAGGTCCTTGCACTATCCCAGGGTACCCTGGCTTGTCCCATCTCAGCACCCCTAGGAAGCTAACCAGGGCCTCAAGCCTCAGCCCTGTTTCTCTGGGGCTCCCACCTCTGGGCATCTCTCATCTGCTGCCTCTATCCCTCAAAATCCCAAATTTAGGTGGAAAATGAACCTCACACGCTAATAGAAACGTGAACATTGCAAGTAATTTATTTGGAATGGACACATTATGAAAAAAAATATTAACGTGCTGAGCGCCGGCTGGCCCGCACGCCCTGAGCCTCCGAGTCGGCCCATCCGGCCCGACCTGACTGAGAGAGACCCAGGTGAGGCAGCTGGGGCAACGGGCGCGCGGACACCGCATTCCTGTCTTGCCCTTCCCAGCTGCGTCGCCCCGGGGCCGCAGCCTCCAGCCAGGCTCCTGGAGTCCAAGCCGGGGGACGGGTCTCCAACGGCTCAGACTCGGGGCCGGGTGATCTAGGGAGGGAGAGTGGGTGCAGGACAGCTACTTTCTGGGTCTAGCCCGAATTCCTAGCTTCTGACTCTCCGTTCTGATTTTGGAGTGGGAGGGTAGGGCTGGGATCAAATTGGAGGGGGAAAGCGGGGAGGCCCGGCCCACGCTTCCCTTAGGGAGGCAGGCCCAGGGGGACCATGTGGTCTTCCACGGGGGATTCAGGATTGCTCCCAAGGCCAACCACTTCAGGCTTTGGGGAGCAGGGGCGTAGAAGGGATGTCTGAGGCTCCAACAGTGAGATGCTATGAAAAGCTAATGAGGAATGTGCTTGCCAGCTGATTGAGAGTGACACGGGAAACGGGTTTCACCAGAGCCAAGTTACCAGGGTCTCTCCTCCCTGGGCTTTCCTGGCCATCAAGGGAGGAAATCAAAGACACCAAGGGAGAACGAGGGACTGAGCAAGCCTGTGGAAGCCTGGACTCACGCCGCTAAACTCCAGCTTTCCTGCCTCCCATAGCACCAGAGCAGTGAGGAAACCACCATTTCCAGCTCGCTAATAGAAACGTGAACATTGCAAGTAATTTATTTGGAATGGACACATTATGAAAAAAAATATTAAAACAGAATGTTTGAAGCCAACTAGTCACTGAAATAAATACAAATATATAGATACTACAAATAACTTAAGCACTGTCCAACCCTCTGGGAGCGGATTGCCACAGTCTTCACAACTTATAAATAGGTGTCTCGGTGGCACCGCGGGCCCCAGGAACCGGCTGCTGGCTCCCAAACCCTGGTGGGAAAGTCTTTGGCTCCACTTCGCCCCCCCCAAGCCTGGCGTCAGGCAGAGCCCAGGGGAGCATGGTGGGGTGGGGCTCTCCCTGCTGGCAGGGAGATCTGGCTCTCGCTTCAGCACCTCTTCCTTCACGGGTCCTCCAGGGGCCCTTTCAGTGCAAGACAAGGTCCCCATCAAGGTCCAGCCAGAATGTTCTAATGGAGAGAACAGAAGAAATGGGTCAATGCTAGGGCGGGGCGGTGGAGGGCGGGGGAGCTTCCTTCCAGCCTAAAGATAGGAGGGAACCATGGGGCGCCTCTTGGAGATAACCTGAGCACAGGGAACTGCTGCTTGTAGCCTCGATCTACCCCGGAGCAGAAGGGCTCAGGCAGCGCTCCAGAGCCGTAGTTAAAGAACTCGCAGCCAGGCTCTCTAACCGGTCCACCAGCTTACCCTGGGGAAAACCCGGAGAGGCTCCCAGACCACTTCCTCCCCGGGTAGGTCCCCGAACTCTGCAGCAGGGAGGCCAGGCCCGGAAGGTCTCCAAGGGTCCTGATCTCTCCCAGGCCATATAGCCTCCAGGATACTGAGGATGAAGTCTTCAGCGGTCCCCTCCAGCCTTCGGAATACCCGCCCTCTATCATTTTCTAGAATAATCTTCCCTCGTCCTACTAACCACATGGAGACACGTAGAAAGGGGAAGGGGGGTTGAGCTGGAGGCAGCAGATAAAGCTTTGGGGATCCTGACCCGGGAAGAGCCCGAGGTTTTGCCGGTAGAGGAAAGTGGTTGGCCTTGGGAGAGATCCCGAATCCCCCGTGGAAGACCACATGGTCCCCCTGGGCCTGCCTCCCCAAGGGAAGCGTGGGCCGGGCCTCCCCGCTTTCCCCCTCCAACTTCTCCCACTCCAAAATCAGAACGGAGAGTCAGAAGCTAGGAATTCGGGCTAGACCCAGAAAGTAGCTGTCCTGCACCCACTCTCCCTCCCTAGATCACCCGGCCCCGAGTCTGAGCCGTTGGAGACCCGTCCCCCGGCTTGGACTCCAGGAGCCTGGCTGGAGACTGCGGCCCCGGGGCGACGCAGCTGGGAAGGGCAAGACAGGAATGCGGTGTCCGCGCTCCCGTTGCCCCAGCTGCCTCACCTGGGTCTCTCTGGGTCAGGTCGGGCCGGATGGGCCGACGCGGAGGCTCAGGGCGCGCGGGCCAGCCGGCGCTCAGGGGGCCCCACCTGCTCCCGCTCTCGCTCCCGCTCCAGCTCCTGCCGGCTCCTGAAATCCTCGATGGCGCGTTGGTTCTGGAAGTCGATGAGCGCCATGGTGATGGAGGCGTTCCAGCAGCTCTCGTCGGGGCAGCGGAAGTCGATCTCTTTGCGGTCCCTGGTGACGATGGTAAAGTAGACGTGCTTGGCGGTGCGCTCCACGCAGTCCACCTTGAGGATGGAATGGAAGCGCAGCTCCTTAGGGCGCGCGCCTCGCCGGGCCGCCGCCGGGCCGTCGGGAAACAGGCTCAGGCGGTCGGTGCTCAGCACCACAAGCTTCTTCTTCCACAGCTGAAAGAGGCTGTCGCTGCGCTTCTCAAGCTCGCCCTCGCGGAGCACGGCTCCCGGGACCTTCATGGTTCCCGATCCAGCTGCCCCCAGCCCGTCGGACCCCAGCGTGGACAGACCGTGGCGCCCGCGACGGCACAGGCACAGAAAGGGAGACAGGGAGCCGCGCCCAGGCCGGGTCTGGCGAGACAGAAGGAGCGGCCGGACGATGGCACGGTGAGGTTCCTGGGCGCGCTGCGGGCGCGGAGGGAGAAGCTCCACTCTCAGGCGGGGATGACGCTGGCGCTGAGGCTGCTGGCCTCGAGCCGCTGCTTTATCTCAGGGTTACCTCCTCCCGCCCCAAAGCCCGCCCCCTTGCTCCGCCCTTCGCCTTCCAGCCAGCCCAGGGCAGCCGGGTGCCTTCCATGTGCGCCACGGACACCGGCCGGCGCCCCGCCCCGGGCCGGCCCCTTTGTGTTTCCGGGCCCCAGATCGCCCCCGCCCGCTCTCCTGCCCCATCTGTCACCCATCCTTCCTTCCCCGCCCCCCTGCACCAGTCTCCAGCCCGCCGCCCTCAGTACCCACTGTCCATGGAGGCCCCTTCCCCTCCCTTTCTCCCTCTTCTCCTCCTTCCTTCCTTCCTTCCTTTCTTTTTCTTTCCCTTTCTTCCTCTACCCAACTCCATTCACCTCCACCCCGTCCCCCGCTCCCTGTGACCTCCCTTCCTCCAGATTGTTCCCTGGCCTCCTTCCCTGTCTGCCAATCTCAGAGGCGTGGACGCTGCCCAGGAATGCGGCTCCTACCTCACCAGCCCAGCCCAGGCGTGACTCATCTCCCTCTTCCCATACCTTGAGCCCTGAGCCCCGAGCCCCAAGCTCAATCATACTTTCCCTGGGAAGAAAGAACTTCCGCCCCGCCCAATCCCACGCTGGGCTGAACAGCATGTTCCTGGACAGCGAGAGGATCATGCCAAACACTCTCTACAGCCTCCTAACTCAGTTTGTACCCAGAAATCCGACCCTACCAACAGACACTCCACTCAGGGTACTTTATGGGGTTTTCCTGCCTTCCCCCCCCCCCAGTCTGTGCCAAGTCCGCCCACTAGCCAGCTACTCCCGTCTCCATCTTCCTTCGGCACCCCGACTCCCATCTAGATGACTGTGTGACCTTCCCCGCCCCCATTGATTCTGAGACCTGCTGCATTCTGAGCCCTGTGCTAGGGAGAGAATCAAAGTTTTGCATGAGTTTGTCCCCTGTGCTTAGCACAGTATCTGGCACCTCATAGGTGCTTAATCAATGCTTGTTGACTGACTGGCTGACTAGAAAAGCCTGACTCCTCCCCTCCAGATCTCGCCGTCCGGGAGAGGGGTCCCTAACGCCACATTGCCTGAGCATTCCGCCCCCAGTGGAATGTAAGAGGGCCGGGGGGGACTGCTCCCTTTGGCTCTTGGGGATCTGCCGCCCCTCAAAGGGCCAGGCACTTACGAGCAGCAGGCCCTGACAGGCTTGCGGTCGATGTTTCTGTTCCACCACCGGAGTCCTGGGCCAGCACTGAGGTGGGGAGGGGTGGGAGGGGAGTAGAAGCGGTGGAGAGGAGACTGTGGTCGTGCCCAGGTTTGTCCCCTCTCTGGCCCTTAAATGAGAGCAGCTAAGCCACCCAGAGGAGCCCTAGGAGAGGGCAGCACAGAAGAATAGAAAGAAACTGGACTTTGGAGCCGGAGAATCTGGATTCCGATTCTGTCTCTGTGGTTGCTAGAAGTCACTTCATGGCCCTTCTCTTTCCTCCTCCAGATCCCACTAGTCTATGACCCAATGACCTGATCGGAGAAGACCAGAGCCCCACGAGCTATGAGATTTTGGAGGAGGACAGGGAAGACCTGGCCCAGGTGCTGCTAATGGGGAAGGCTGGGAGGAAACACCTGCCCGGCCTCCGTCGGCCCAGCAGTGTTGGACCTGGGGCTCCTGTGCCCAGCACTGTCCCGTGTCCCAAAGGGACAGAACCCAGAGAAGGGCCTCTGGCCACATAAAGCCTTGTCCGCTTCCTAGCTCTGGCAGGTTCTACCTTTTAGTATTGTTGGGGACATAAGAGGAAGATGTGGAGAATGACACTGAGGATAGACCCTTCCCGAATTTGGCAAGGCAGCAAGAGGTAGGAGACCCAGAAAGCCCTGGGTTTGAGTCCTACCTTAGAAATGTAGTCATTGATTGAACAATGGGGGAGGAGAGGAAAGGAAAAAAGCATTTATTTACCCTTTGAGTGCTAAGCACCTTGTAAATATACACTGTATACACACACACACACACACACACACACACACACACACACACATATGCACGTTAGCTCACTTGATCTTCACCAGAACCCTGGAAGGTAGGCACTATTATTATCCCCATTTTACAGGTGAGGCACATATATATAGTGCTCTGGGTTCCAGCTCCTTTCCCAGGTCTAACATTCCATGTTCTATATTATAATTTCCCTCCCAGTTCTGATATTCCAGGTTCCATGTTCCCTCCCGATTCTAATGTCTGGTGCTCAAAGGTTCTCTCTGGTTCTGATATTCCATGTTCTAAGGTCTCTCTCAGCTCTGAAATTCTGGATTCTATGTTCTAAGGCCCTTCCCAGCTCTGACATTACATATTCTAAAGTTTAAGGTTCCTCCCAGCTCTGAGGTCTCTGAAGTCCCTTCCCAGCTCTGATATTCCAATACCCTAAAGTTCTTCCCAGTTTTGACATCCTGTGTTCTAAGGTTCCCTGCAGTTCCAGTATTTCATGTGTTCTCTCCTGTCTCTGAGGTTCTAGGTTCCATGAGCCCTTCTGGCTTTGACATTCCAGCTTTCAGTCTATCCATGATATTCTTTGAAGTTCCAGTTTTTTAGGTCTCAGTGACATGAGGTGTCCTCCCCTCAGTCAGCCTCCTTGGACTTATCCTAGAGAAGAGACCAGGCAGTTTAATAGCAGTCTTTGAGCTTGGGCCCCCATGCTGGGCCCTTTGGATCCAAAGAGGACCATGAGTCCAGTAAGAGGGAGGGAGAGGGATGGGAAGGAGATGCAGTCTACCACTAATGACACCTTCCATTTCTGAAGGACTTTTCCCCCAAGCAGCCCCAGGACATAGTACTTGAAGGATTATTATCTCCATTTCGGAGATGAGGAAACAGATTCAGAGAAAGGATGGGAAATTGCCGATGATCACAGAGTTAGTCAGGATCCAAGCCATTATTCAGGCTCAGGAATCTTGACTTCAAAGTCATCCCTCCCTAACTCCCAGCCAGGTAGACAATGATAAGGGCCATCAGAAAAAAGTGCCCAGAAAATGCTATTGGGAGGGGCAGAAGGCCTGGCCATGGGTGGGTGCTCAGAGCTTGCTGAAAGAATGAATGAGCCAATGAGTGAGTGAGTGAATGAATGATTAAATGAATGAAAGAGTGAATGAATGAGAGAATGAATGAGTGAGTGGGCTTGGAGAGTTTGGACCACGTAGAAATTATAATAGCCGTGGAAGATGAATTTGGGTTTGAAATTCCTGACACACATGCTAAAAAGCTAATGTACCCACAAGAGATTGTAAATTACATTGCAGAGAAGAAAGATGTGTACCATTAAAAGTGAGTGAATGAATGAATGAGTGAGTGAATAAATGAGTGAATTAATTCCTCAGGCTGAAGGAGGAAGGGACCTAGGGTCAGTGATAGAAAGTGCCATCCACCTAGGGTGAGCCGGAGCTTCCTGGGAGGACCTTAGAGCAGCTCTGAAGCCAGATCTGGCCTTGAACTAGCCCAGGCTGCCGGGATGGCAGGGCCTGGGCCAACGAGCCAAACACTGGCTCCATTGGGAAACTGAAAAGGCACACTGGCTCCCTTGCTGCCCATTGTCCCATTTCCCCTGTTCCTTTTTTTAAAAGCGCACTAAATCACCTGGGAAACGAGCTGGGAATTCTCTGGGCCATTTGGTGAAGAGGAGCTAGCCTGGAGTCGACTCCCGGGGCTCCCCTGGGAACCTGGCTGCACAGCAGTCTTCCTCAGCCAACCTTAGGAGCACTCGAGCCCTCCTGGGCTTTGGGGTTTCCCCGCTTGTGAGACAAGCGAATTGGACACGATGGCCCGGGAGTCTGCTTCAGCCCTTTTCCCCACAAAGCAGAGGGACAAGGGAAAGTTAGTTTCCCCAGCAAGGGAAAACAGATTCTGACGCCTGTGGCCCTGAAACCCTTTCTAAAACCCCCGAAGTCAGATTTCAAGGTCCCTCAGACCATGGAATGATGGAGTGGGGAGAAGCCTTAGAACAGAGATGATCTTGTCTATTCCATTTTTTCCTCCATCTCCAAATACACAGAGAAGGAAACTGAAGCCCAGAAAGGAGGAAGATGAGGCACTGAGAGCTAGCATGGTCAGTGCTCTGAGGGAGAGCAGTGATAGCAGACCCCGCCCTGGTAACATGTTCTTTACAAAGCCTGACGACCCTCAGACCCTCACTACAGGTCCTCGGAGACAGGGACCACAGGCATTAATATCCTCATTTTACAGATAAGGAAACTAAGGATGAAGAGGCGAAGCCACTCACCCCAGGGCCTCATAGCTACAAAGTGTGGGAGCCCTCAGGCCCTTTCCCCGCCTTGGGCTGCCCCACCTGCCACCATTCCCTTGGCTCCTCTGTCCCCACCTGCAGCCCTCTGGCTGCCCAGGCACAGTTCTCGGCGTCTCTCCTTATTTGACTTCATGGGTTTGCCATTTCTCTCCACCTTCCCATTCTCAGAGGCGGCACCCGTACCAAAGCCTTTGAAACCAAGCCCTTCCTGCCTCCTGGCCGCTTCCGGAGATGAGAGGCAGCTGAGGGCACCAGGACAGAAAGGAACAATGGAGCTCTGTCTGTTTGCTGCTGACGCCTCTCTCCTTTGGAGGGGAGCTCAGCCATTTCCACAAAGGCTCTTTCCTGGGCCGGGGGATAGCCCACCTCCCACCCACGGAGACACAGGATGGGGATTCAGTCAGGGATGCGGATGGAACTAAGAGTGTCTCCTCCCGGCCCTCTGGCTACAGTGTCGAAAGTGAGATTCTCCTCCAGTTCTTTCCAGACTCGGGTCAGCCCCTAGCTGCTACTGCCCAAGCAGGCCCTGCCAGGCTGGGAAGCCCATAGGTTGGACTGGGTCTAAGGGACCAACCCAGAAAAGCAAGTAAAGACGTTGCAAGTGTGGCCCTTCCCTCTCCAGAAGGCTGTGCTGCTCTCCCAGGGACCATTCGGGCAAGGGTTTAGAGCAAACACACACACACACACACACACACACACACACACACACA